GGAAGGAAGGAAGGATGGAAGGAAGGATGGATGGATGGATGGAAGGAAGGATGGATGGATGGAAGGAAGGATGGAAGGAAGGATGGATGGATGGAAGGAAGGATGGAAGGAAGGATGGAAGGAAGGATGGATGGATGGAAGGAAGGATGGAAGGATGGATGGATGGAAGGAAGGATGGATGGAAGGATGGATGGATGGATGGAAGGAAGGAAGGAAGGATGGATGGAAGGAAGGAAGGATGGATGGATGGAAGGATGGATGGAAGGAAGGATGGATGGAAGGAAGGATGGATGGATGGATGGATGGAAGGAAGGAAGGAAGGATGGAAGGATGGAAGGAAGGATGGATGGAAGGAAGGAAGGATGGATGGAAGGAAGGAAGGAAGGATGGATGGAAGGAAGGATGGATGGAAGGATGGATGGATGGATGGAAGGAAGGATGGATGGATGGATGGAAGGAAGGATGGAAGGAAGGAAAGAAGGGTGAACTGGCAAAATAGCCCAGCATGAAGGCCTCGTTAATCTCAAGTACTAGAAAATGACAAACACAACAAAACAGAATACCCCAGCATGGCCCACTTAAAGCAATCAGTAAGTTTCAAACTGTAAGTAATTAAAATTGGCACGTAGTTATAAACAATAAAAACATCAGCAAGTCATGGTGATTTCCAGGGATTTCTAGAGAAACTTTCTAACTACATATCCCTGTCACTAAAGATGCGTACGCAACGCACACAGACCACAGCAGGGTCCTACAGTGTCAGAATCGCGCTCTGCTCTCACCCTCCCACCCAGGTAAACACAGCCAGCTCTTGGTGTTACATGGTGGATGGAATGAGGATGACACACAGGGAGGGAGGGAGGTCCTGCTGGGTGGGGAGGATAGGGGAAGGGGACAACAGACTTAAAACATGTTATGTCCGCGCACCAACTTCCCAAATGAATGTGATCATCATCTACTCCAAATAGGTACTAATAAAAATTTGAAAGAAAAATAACATGAAACAAAATCATTCAATGAAAAAAAAATTTTTCTTCCCATAGTCCACCCTCGCTTTGTTCTCTGAAGACACTTTCTAGAAATGTCTGGAGCCAAATCAAATACCCTAAGTATTAAGAGGGTCAAAATGCAAGTAAAAGCAAAACACATTCAAAACAGGATACAGGGACGGGGAGATAGCTCAGTAGCATAAGCACCTGCCTGGCAAGCGCAAGGTCCTGAGTTTCAATCCCGGTACCGCAAAACAAACAAACAAACAAACAAACAAACAAAAAAAAACAGGATACAAACTTAGGGCAATTACATATAAGAATCACAGACAGATCAAATCAAAGCTAGGCTTGAAAACCAAGCACATTACCAAACAAAAGACACTAAAGACCAGGAAACTCCATGGGCACATTATAACTGAGGGAAAAACATGTATTTTTACCTTTAGCATCAAAAACATGCCCACTCAAGTTTTGTGCTGACATTTCTCTGGTCCATCATCACCCTTGCAAATCAGTATTTTCATGCTTAAGACTGGGCAGGCGCACAGGGTCGCCAGGAAATGGCATCACCAGACTTTGTAAGATTCCCTTCTACAAGTTATGACATACGGCTGTGGATGAACTATAATATTTAAATGACATATTTCCCACAGAGTCACAAAATCCTCATAGAAAGTATTAAAAAAAAAAACAGAAATAAAGAGTCAAATACAGAGATGAAATGTACAAAACAAATGAACAGGCAAACTAAAAGTTCTTGAAAGTATTTTACTTCAGATTGAAAAATGAACAGCTTCCACACTGTTCTTTCCGAGATACACAGTATTCACGAATACAATGCTGGTCATTTGAGGACATGTATATACACCTCAATTTCTCCTTCATGCTTTTTCTTTTAGAAAGATACTGTTTACCAAAAAGAAACTTCAGCAGTACAGGAAAAACTATTTTCCCAATAAATTTACGAAAACCTAAGATTCCCAATGGAATCAAGATTATCTTCCCGCTACCACCACCTTAATATAATCACATGCTTATTGGAACACTAATATTCGCACCCTAAGAGTACATTTACTTTCAACAATGAGGGTGATTCTGAAAAAAATAAAATAAAACCAAGAAAACAAAACTTCAGTGTGGTAAATGTAACATGGATCTCTGCAAGTATTAAGTGTCTGAAGTAGGCAGCTAATACTGGATTGAATATTATTTTATAAATAATTGTTCCCTTAGCAGTAAACATAAGTCTACACATTCACAAGTCCTACAAAATAAATACTGTGATTATGCACAATATGTTATGACAAACTAGTTTCAAAAAACAAAAGCTCAACATCTTGATAAAAATTCTGATCAGAATAAAACATGACTCTAAAATTTAAAACATCATCAAAATAACATCACATTTAAAATCATCCACAGTTTACACAAGTACTATGAGTTTCCAGTTTTGGAACACATTTTTCCGTTGTGAATTAAAATACGAACATATTGAAAATAGTTAATTTCAATGATGACATCAGTTTTGGTCTTACTTTAACATTATTTTCTTTTATAAAAAGTTGCACTGTGTGTCCATTAGTGGTCTGATTGGTCTTTGATACTCCATAAACGCACATAAAAGAAATCCCTAAAAAGCCAATAGTACTGTGTGTGTGTGTGTGTGTGTGTGTGTGTGTGTGTGTATAAAAGAATCTCATCTCAGAAATGGCTGTATTTAACAAAGCCACATTCAGTGATGCTAAACATAAGAGCTTTCACCTTGGAAGCAAGTACTTTCAGAACTGTCACTTACATTCATTCTACTATATTAAATATTCCCAGCTGAGTTTCCAACTCAACAGGTGAGGAATAACAGAATTTTACATCTCATTTGCACTCAGAGCTGACCACAACCAAGCTTTACAGTATGATTAAAACAAGCCAATGTTTAAAAAAGTTTTAATTAAAGACAACAATTCCATGAAAGGAGAAGATAAAGAATGGGATGACTAGAAGTATTTGGTCTTAATAAGGCAATACAAAATAGATCCATTATCAAAGACCATTTAATTTTTAAAGACTGACAATACCAAAAGCATAAAGTGGAGTTTAAGAAAATAGTTTTTATAAGTATGATTTAATTAAAGCTGTTTACAGTTATCCTCCCCCACAGTAGTTAAGCATGAATCTGAAAGAGTAAGAGATGAGACCCACAAGCGCACGCAGCACACAGGGTCGGGGGCTGCATGCAGAGCTCGCGGAGCTTGAGGCTGCTCTGCGCCAGGAAGGAGACCAGACGAGGGCGGCCTTGCGTCTCCTGCTGGGGCTGGTGTGAAGACAGAGAGAAGGGCAGGAAAAAAGGCTGCGAAGGAACAAATACGAAGTCATGTAATTGCCCACTGCCCAAAATGACAGCACACTAGAAAACAGGAGCAAGTTAGTTCTCAGAGATGACCAGAGATTTTTCAGTGTTTACACAAAAGTACATAGTACATTTTTTTCTTTTTTCTTTTTTTTATAAAATAAAATAAATGTCATTTGCCACCATAAACCTTTTCTTTAGAGAGGAAAAAATTTTGAAGCAGGTCACAAGGGTTCTATTAAGTCATTTCAATGCCAAGGAAAACAAACTGAGTAATAGAACTAATCACTTCCCTATATATGGATGCCAAGATGACAATTCAGATTACTCTTCAAACTAATCCTGAGAAGAAATCTGTTTACAATTCAAACAGTAATGTTATGTAAAAAGTATTAACAAATCCACTATTACAAATATCAATTTCCTATATGGTCTTCTATATATACAGACAATAAAATGGTAAATATATGCAAAAATATTAAAAAAAAAAACCATGCACAGATCACTTTCCCCTTTGGAATCTGACTTCCTATAGGATACTTCTGTTTGCCTTTCCCACCCCATCCTCCAAAACTGTGTTTTATTTCTATCTCCCTACCCACACTGAATACTATTCCCTATAACTCTGCATAAAGCCAATGAGAAATATATGTATTTTACATTCAAGCTTTAAATCTTAAAATGACCCTGTTGTAGCATACGACTTATCAAATAAGCAGCTTTTTTCCCCGTTTTGCTTGTTTTCTGTTTTTGCAGTTGTCAGTCTCCATGATCCATTCCGTGGCGAGCTGGGAAAAACGCAGTTGCTAAATCACCGTCTCAACAGTGTGACGCTCCTGACTGTGTCCCAGGAGTCCCTATGCAACTGTCCTGAGCGTGAGAGCATTGCACACAGAAGACAGTCCATCGCACAGTGCCGACTATCTACAAAGGTCTGAGAGGGGTGCGTCCCTCTTGTGTTTCCTCTTTTTGCCATGGTAATACTGATTATTGGATTTGCCTTGATGCTGTTTGTTTGTCATCAAGGAACCATGGCTTGTCTGAGTTGTACCTTGGAAGCCTTTGCTGGAAGAGCGAAAGAGCCTTGCTGATCCATGCTGTGGAGAAAGAAAGCAGTCAGGAAGACATCAGTGTTTCTGGTTAGCACACTTGCATTCAGGGGAGCTTTCACGGCTAAAACTACGCTGCTTAGAGTTGTCTACTGACTGCTGACTTATCTAGCAGGCAAAAAGAGGATTAATTTGACTAAGCTCTAAAATTTACATTTTTAATTGAAAAGTAGACCACTAATTAAAAAAGAGACTACTACCCTGTCTTCTTAATGTGCACATCACTGGGAAACTCTCAGACACAAATGGGTGTGCGGGCATGTGAGGTATGTGCCTGGTTGGTTGGTCCTTTCCCACACCCGCTACTGCCACCTGCCTTTTCTCCTCACACCCATCAGCCTCTTTTAAGAAGCTCCAAAGCATGACTATATTCTAGCAACACGTCGCCTTGAGAGTCTTTATGAAACACCACTGTGACATCAGCCTGTGTGGGAATCTGGCTGACTGGTCCTTACGGGTTGTCCCAGCCAACCCACCACATTACAGTTGTTATCGTCTCTTCCATCAGCCCTGACACATTAACTTCTATTTCTCCTGAGGATTGTGTTTAGTACACATGGACGAGGCTGTGGAAGTAAAGGGGACGCAATGAGTCAAATGAGACCCAAGGTAACTGATGAGCCAGTCGTCTCTGTTTCTCAAAATCCCAGCTGTACTAGGAGAGGACCAGGGCCTCAGGCCAGGGCCCAGTATCCATGGCCTCATCCCCTCCCTTTGATTTATTACTTATAGTTAATAACTGTAAGTAACTAAAACACAAATAAGGCATGTCTCTGGCCTGTTTATGTCAAAGCCAATGTTAATCCGTGACCACAATTCATAGCTATATGATAGGTTCAAAACAGGCAAAAAGGTATGATGTATTTAAAAACAGTAAGATCATTCCTAGATATGCACACCACCATTATAAAGTCATGCAGTACCTTTTCATAGACAGTTTATTTCTAAGACAATGAAACTTTTAATTAATTAATGCCTCTTTTTGTTGTTACCAGGGCCTCAAGAATGCTTAAGCAGACATTGAATAACCCCTGCCATAGCCCCTCTACAATTTTTTTATGCTGAGTGTGTGACAGTGTGGGAAAGGGGACTGGGTTATAGCTGTGGGGGAAAATTTAACTTTCTGGGCATGCATGGAGGCCCTGGGTTCAATCCCAAGCACCCCAGCAATGATAACAGATGTGGTGGGTTGGCAGGGACAACCTGTAAGGACCAGTCACTAGATTCCCACACAGGCTGTCGCAATGGTGTTTCATAAAGGTTCTCAAGGTAACCTGTTGCTAGAACATAGTCATACTTTGGAACTTCTTAAAAGAAAACAGATTTGTTCTTTAACCTAGAGTTATCTTTAAATCCATGAAAACCATTGTTCACATGTTAGAAATTCTAATTAACTTTTTATTGAATACTACAACAAAAACACAAACTACACACACCTGAGATTTGTTGGTGCTGTTGGGTGGGTTAGTGGTTTGGGTGCTCTGCATTTTCCCAACTGTCTGAGAAGACTCCAAGGTCACATCTTGTGGCCCTACTCGGTTCCCAGCGGACGGACGGCAGAGCAGCTGTTTTGGAGTTTTGCATGGTGTCGCATCTGAATCCTAATACAAATCACATGAGTTACAAAAAATGTTAGTAATGGATAAATTCGGTATTCAAACTGAAGCACCCAGGAGGTAAGGAGGTCTGAGGAAGACTCCAAACTAGTCACTCTGGTTTCCTTTAAACTGTTGAAGGATGTTTTTCACGGGCTTCATTAGCAAGTCCACTGTCCACCTTGGACTTGGGAATTGGCCATGAAGGGGCTCAGAGGTCCTGGAGGATGTGTGTTTGTATGCACATAAAACAAGTCATGGCAGTACCAAGCTAAGAGCATGGCACAAGGCGACAGGTTTAGGAGCTCAATTTTGGAAGCTTTGCACTGACAGATCTCTTCCATCAAGCGCACCTGAGACAGTGAGCAGGCTGAGCCCGTCTCTGCCCCTCTCTTTAGCCCAGGCACACTACCTGGCATCTAAGTCACACTGTCTCAGGTGCTAAGCTCCCTCTTGGGGCTGTCTCTGTCCACCCCACCACCCTCACCCCATTGCACCCTGCTTAGCATTCTGTCCTCCCGGGCGCAGCTCCAGGACTCACAAGGCACCCAGAGAATCTGCACATGAGTAACTATGACTTAGTGACAGGTGGCCATTAAGAATGACATAGAGTGATGTCCTTTACATTCTTCTTGGTGTCACATAATGAGCTCAAAAATCCAAACACAGTAACAAGGGAATTTTAAACCTTAACTCAAAAATTTACCTTAATCAAGAAAACTTATTATATATATATATTTGATGTTTGAATTTTAATAAGAATAGAGATAGTAAGTAGATTATAGGCTGAAGAAAGGAGGAAACAGGACAGATGCCTAAGAAATGGTTTCTTTTTAAGACTGCTGGAAATATTAGAATAGCAATAGCTGTGTAACAGTATGAATACATTCAAAACCACTAAGATTATACATTTAATGGTGAGCTTCATGATATGTGCATTATATCTCACCTTTTAAAAACTTAAAATTGGGAAGCTCAAAAACATTATTTTGAAAGAAACTTCATTAAAAAAAGAATATATACTGCATGAAATATATCATTTTTCCCCTTAATTTTATATATTTGATACAGGGTCTCACTACACAGCTCGGACTCATAGTGATCCTCCTGTTTTCAGCCTCCCCAGTGCTGGGATTACAGGTGTGTGCCACTACGCCTGGACTCAGCTGCTGGCTCTGTGTGCTCCAGGGATGGGGCTGGTGCAGCATGCAGGATGGGCAACCAAACCCAGGGGCAGGGCTGGCATGGCATGTAGGAGCAGATATCAAACCCTGGTCCCTGTGCTTGCTAAAGCAGGAGCTTAGTCCGCTGAGCTATCTCGCTGGCCCTGAAATATATGAAATTTTATAACAGGTAAAACTAACCTACGGTGTTTGGAAATCTGAACAGTACCTTCCCTGTAGAACTACGGGCTAAGAACACTCTTCTTCAGGTGAGGATAACATTATATAACTTGCTGGCATGCTGGGTTACATATGTGAATACATTCAATAAAATGCAAATGTGCTTTTTGGGTTCCTTTTATGTCAAGCAAACAGTACAAGCAAACACTGAAGTCTGGCTAACAATGTGCAGGACAGAAGTTTAGGAGAAGTGTACTGGTATCTGCAATCTCTTTAAAATGGACCAAGGTAAGAGGAATTAATAGGCAGAGGGATGGACAGACGGTTAGGTATACGATGAGTAAAATATAAATAGAATCTATAGTAAATATAGAGACCAATAAAATTCTTTCACTTTCACTGTATGCTTGAAATTTTTCAGAAGAAAATACTAATAAAAAAGAACAAATATGAAAGCTATTAAAATTTTCCAGCAATAAGTAAAGTGACCTTAGCCCTGCAGATGACTAACCCAGCAAGACAGTGAGCACAAGGTTCCCAAGTCTGCGTCTTTCGCACTCACCACGTCACTGGAGCTGGACTGCGTAGCAGAAGAGGATGACACCGGACCTGATGAAGAGTTTGAAGAGTGTTTACTAAGAGATTCCGAAGCTTTACTTCTACATTTTCCAAGGGCTTCATTTTCTTCAGACAGATTATTATTACATTTATCTAACTGCTGAGTATCTACTATCAAGGTAACACCATTTCCTGAAAGAGTGGCAAAAGATTGGAAAACGTTTCTTCCCATTAAATACACACAACACAGAAAAGCCTCTAAGACTCAGTCAGCAGAAAAGAACCTCACCATTGCATGAGGGTTCCGGCCTGTTCTGCAAGCCCCACTGCTTGGAGATCCAATCTCTGTACGTAGCAACTTCATCTGTTACTCTAATTATCCTACCTAATATGCTGTGGGTATTTAAGAGAAAGGAAGGACACATTAATTTGAAGATAGGAAGCCATCAGCAATCTAAACCAATAAGCTGATTTTAGTGAAACTCTTACCTCTCTGTTTCGTTGTTGGGATAGTACTTTGCTATTGGTGATACAGCGTGACTCAAAACGACATAAGCATAATCAAAGGCCTGTTTCACTTGCATGGCCCCATAGGAACTCCTTCCCACATCATTACCTTTAAAAGAGATGTGCACACAAAGCAGTAAGCTTGACCACTGTGTCACAGGATTTACACGTTGACCAGCCCTCTGCTACTGATCTAGGAGCAGGGGAGTGCCCCCCACAAAGCTGAGCCGCCAGTCTCTCCTTCGGCCCTCCACACGCTGAAGTGCGGTCAGTATTTTATACTATGGCATAGCCAGGAGCTGCCTATGTGCTTTCTGGCTCCAATAAGGACTCTCTCATCACATGTGCAAACAGCCATGTAAACAAAAGAAGTAATGGCCTATTCCCTCGTAGGCACAAACCCAACAAAGACACTCCAATTTTTTTCCTTTTGATCAATCAATACAAATTTCCCACCTTAAATTATGAGTTCTGAAAAAGTGCAACTGTCATGCATTTGGACAGAGCCAGCTCCTGCTGAGTAGTTCACTGACTATACCTAGAGAACTATCAGTGCTCTAAATGTACTTCAGTAAGCCAGAAAATGGCTCCCAGGCAGTTATTTTATCTTTTCCCTCCTTCTCCTTATCTTCAAAATTATACATTAAAGCAAATGACTAAAAGCACTTTTAATAAAATCCAACAGTGCAGAACCCACATATTTTATACTTACATGAAAATAATACTGTCCCAAAAAGCTAAGATACCAACAAACAAAATTCATGAGAACAAGAAAGAAATTTATTTTCTGTTCACTTTCAAGCTAACTCAAAGCTGGAAAAAGCACAGGAGGACTGCAAAATTAGAGAAAAGAAGCGCACTACAAAATACATACTGTCTCCTTAACCCCTGCGCTCATGAATTCAAAGGCATACACTACACCTACTCTCAGGACTTCAGAGCATCTCCTAGAGGACTGAGCGAACACTGCTTAGAATCACCACAAAGGACACAGAAAAAGGAAAACTCCACCAAAGTAGAGGCACATGTGGACCTAGTGAGTGGCTGCCTAGTTAACCTGCTGAAGGCACAAGTCACCACCAGCACACCCACGAGTTTGCAGATTTGGGGAGGAGGGTCCTTTCATTTGGTACATTTGATGAGTTATTGATTAAAAAACCATAATTAGAAATTATCCTTCATTCCTCACCTAAAGAAAATTTAAGCTAGAAGGAGGCTGATGATGCCCTGTGTGGGTGCCCACAAATTTACCTAATTTCAATACCTGGTTGTAAAGGATCTTCAATATAAAGCATGGATGGCCTGTACCCATCTAGCATATTTTTCTGTACTTCATCTTTGGCCACATAAGAACCACCATCCTTTATCCGGATGCCAGTCTTTAAATAATTGAAGTGTCGTCCATATAATTCAAAAAATTCTATTAAGAGAACACCATAGTTTGTATTGGGGATGCAGGCATCTTCCCTGGGATGTAACTAAAAGAGAGAAAAAAATAAATTATCTTAGGTTTTCTCTAAATGATTGGAGGGGAGGTGTTTACACAACATCTTCACTTCTATCAGCAGTATTATTGTTAACACTCCCGGCTGAGCACAACAGATGGCACCCAGGAGGAGCCGTGCTGCGCTGCGGCTCACAGCGACTCCACACAACCACCCTGTGGGCACGGAAGCAGGGCAGGGGACGCGCAAGGCTGGGCTGGCCCAGCCCTGCTCCAGGACGCCGACTGGGCTGGCCTGCCCCGCACGGGGTGGGGGTGTCCTCCAACTCCAGCAGTCGCTGGCACCTGGTGCTCCAAGCCACGGAAGACCGAGACTCCTAGCTCCTCCACCCCACAGTAGCTCTCATTCCTTGCCCCGATTAGCTGCTCAGAAGACACTCTTCTTTTTTTCATTTAGACTACCATTTACACTTATGGCAAACTTGTTCTTTGTGTTTTTTTTATTTTTTGTAGTACTGGGCATGGAATGCAAGAAGGGCTGAGCTACAGCCCCAGTCCTATTTTATTTTGAGACAGTCTTGTTACTGCCCAGGCTGGCCTTGAATTTGTGACCCCTCTGCGTCAGCCTCCCAAAGGCGGGGCAGCCGTGTGACTGCATGCTAACATCTTCAGTGGAAAGTCTCTTAAAGCGATGAGTTTTCCTTTAGTGCACTCCAGCGTGGCACACCTGCACAACCTACCTGGAGGAAACTGACAGCCATTAGAAAGAGACTGTAAGAACCAATTCCACCTGTAAATACTTCATTAAGGTCCCTCTGTAATAGGAATTGCTTCAATACTAAAACCAGGTATGGCAACACAGGATATTTCTGAAAACAAAACAAAATTATACTTTCAGTGAATATTGTCTCTTTCCAAAGAACTATTAGTTAAACAGCCAATAAAACTTTTATTTGATCAGTTATATTGTCCTGTAAATTGTGGTAGTAGTACCAAGAATAAAAAATTAAGGAATTTTTAACTTTTCAAAAAAACCCAAAACTTTATTTGCACATGTCCTTCAGATCTGAAATTTTGCTTCCACGCATCTGCTTATGATCATTTTTTTTTTTTTTTTTTTCAAAGAAAAACCTTTTATTTGGGCCCATGAGAGGGTCCTGAGGCAGGAGTTCCTTTGACAATGCATTCATGTACCAGCTGCTTCCCTTCAATGAGCTCCAGGTCTTTAAGTTTCAGGCTCAGCAAGGTACTATTGGTGGGCAGGAACATGGCCCTCTGAACACATTTTGGCAGTGCCATTCACAGGGTAATGATGTGCCTAGCTCATGTCCCCAAAACCTGCCTTCTCCCAGGGTTATCTCTGGAGGAAGCAACTAGGTACACAAAACTACCTACAAGGCTGTTTGGCATGGTCATCACACTTGCTAGAAAGGGCATCATGGTAGCTAACTTACCTTTTTCAGGGATGAATCTGGGATATCAATACATGGCCCAGATTTCACTGACCTTCTCAGACCAAAAAGCTACAACTCTTATCGCACAGGTCCTGCTTTACCTTGGTCTTATCCATCCAGTAGAAAAGTATGAAGATGAAATATAGGAAGTAAAGCCATGCTGTTATGTTGAGCTATGGGGGACTCAGGTCAATAATTTCTGACATTGCCAGTTAAACAGAAGACCCAATGCTATTATGGTCTACTGGACTCTTTTAGAATATTTTGCTGAGTTTACACACCTATAATATTCAATAACAGAATTTAGAAAAAATAGGGTATACAGATGAATGTCCATTTTGTATATGTGTTTTCAAAGTGGTTAGGATAGATATATAGTTGCATTCTCTTAATGAATAGAATGATTTGTTCTAATGGTGTTTGTAAATAGGATCTCAAGTCCGCATCTTGTGTAGCAATTAACCACTAAGAAGAATATATGCAGTGTGTTATTTGTTGAAACTGTACTTCCGATTTGATTTGAAACTGTCTCATTGCTGTTTATCAATAAAATTTTGGAATAAATAAATAAATAAATAACACACACACACACACACAAAAATACATGGCCCAGTCATTGCAGTACATCCTTAGTTAGGCTTGTCATACCAAATGGTTCCCTTACACACCAACTAACGTTGGAGATGGCCCAAAATCCTCCAGTTGACAACTATGCTGAATTCAAAAGCTGAATATACTTCAAAAGCTCATCTAGGCCACCAGAACAAAAGAATGGGGACTAGAGAAAGATCAATGTAATTCCTATCTTAGTTCAGGCGCTGAGATGGCTGAACTGCAACCACAGGGCAAACTACACCAGTAGTCACACTCTCTTTCCAAATTGGGTCCAAAAACAAGAGGCCTCTGCAAACCATTCTAGATGCCTGTGTAATTGGTAGTTTTAGGATCTCCTCTGATATGTGATTAATAAGCAGAAACTCAGAGGAGGGAGAGGGAGGGGACACACTGTATGCAAGCAGGGCCTATACAGGGGTGGAGTGCATGTACCTGGCCACAAGTTAAGAGAACAGGGTCTGGAAGTTGACATCATACACCACTAACTAGCTGAGCTGGGTTTAGGTTCTTGCACTGTAGCACAGAACTTGCATGAAGCACCACAGCACAACAGCTGTTTACTTCTTTTCAAGCAACTCATTAAAAAGCACAAAATTCTTATCTTCATTCTGGTTTTCAATGGTCAAAGTGACAATAATTTTGTTTTCTAGATCTGCAATTCATTCCCAATCACTGCAACCTGCCACAGAAAATACTGGCTGTACTTCACCCTTAGCAGGCCAGTTTGGCAACTGTGTGACTGAAGCACTAGAGCAAGGTGAAACTACCACCTTCCATGGCTATAGGTGGATGTAGCACTAGTACCTGGCTTGTAGCAGAGAGAAGCTAGAGAGTGAAAATGTCTGAAGGTAACTTAGAAAGAGGGCTGAGGTACAAGGTGGCTCACAATCTGGTTGAATCTAAGTCTGTGGCTCACTAAATAGGGCAGTAGGAAAAGTTCCATCCAAACTCTTCTTACTGCCTTGCAAGGAAGACAGCTTCCGAGTATGAAGAATTTTTATCAGGCTATGATTACAGCCTTAACTGCTACAAGTCAGAAGGTAGTTCAGCAAAGGTGGGAAGTGAAACTTGGAACACAAAGCTACATTCTGACATCACACTCACTCTCAAAAGCTGCTTGCCAGAAGCCTCTCACAAATATCAACACAATAAAAGGCACTCACAGCACAGGACCATACCCACGCCTTCAGCATCTTATTTGCCACACACTAGCAGTGAACAGTTTTCCCACTCCTAGGTCTCCTCAGATTTCTGCATATGGAATAAAGCAATGGCAGCAACCAAGAATCAGCAGGGTAGAATAGCCTTGGATGATGGGAAGGCAAAGAGCTGGGCAGGTGTAATAGAAGACGGACACCACCTGTGAGCATAGATTCCCGAGGCAAGTCTGAGTGAAGGGTGTTGCTTATGATCATTTAAGATTGCTTTTCACCATCATATTATTATGACATCATGCATGTAAGTTTGATATCATGCAATTCTTGTGTTTTTGTCTTTTTGAAACAGGGTCTTACTGGGCAGTTTATGCTAGCCTTGAGCTCACTTTGTAGCACAGGCTGGCCTCAAACTCACAATGATCCTCCTGATTACAGGTGTGCACCACCACTCCTGGCTTTTTCGTGTTTTTTATTTTCAACATTAAATTTTTTTTTTCCCCGGGGTCGGGGAGGTGGCTCAGTAGAACAGGAACTTGCCCTGAGTTCAATCCCCGGTACCGCCAAAAAAAAAAAAAAAAAAAAAAACCTTTAGGTATAGAAAATTTTTTTCAGGAAAGGGAAAACTTACATACAGCACATCTCCAAATGAGAGGGTTCACAGATATTCCCCTTTTCTGATTTTCTATGCTCTGTATATTTTCATGGAAAAAAAGATGTCTATGATATTATATAGTTAATATCTTTCCTTTTAAAAAAGGAAAGAACTATAGCACTTCTGAATGGACAGAAAACATCCTACACAAGCCACATCACTTCGTGCTTCTAGCTTGAGGGGAAGGCTGCCAGCTGTTTTAAGTATCCCAAATGTTCCAAGGTGATGATGGCAAAATTTGCCCTATTTTTGAAGAAATCAGAACAATAAAAATAATCTTATTTCAAGATAAAAGAAAACCTGTAGGCACCACCTTCTAAGTCACCTGGGATTAAAATCAAGAAGGGGCTCCTAGGGAGGTTCTTAGCCTGAACTCTTATTGGGGATTAAAAACAGCCAGGAGTCAGCAACAGCGTGATCTCAGCCCAACTAACCATAAGAATCCACAACAGAGATCTTCTTCAAAAGCATCCTTAGCTCTTGATTCCAAGGTTACATCGTACTGTAATTACTGATCATTATAAGCAGAATCAAAAAAAAGAAAACAAAAGTGCACAGCAAAGAAAGAATCACTTTTTTTTCCCAATTTATTAGCCTTTAAAAAAAAAAAAAAAGCCTTTACTTGAGAGCCATTATGGCAATAAATGGTATGTCATGACAAGAAGTACATATTTAGAACTACTTGTCAGCAACATGTATATAGAAATAGCTCAGCAAGATACAGAACATCACCACAAGCTACCCTCAGCCACATGCCCCAACCATCTCATCACACACACTCCACAGTGTCTCTGACCTTAGTAAAATCTTTGATGAGGTCTGCGGCTCTCACTCCATTCTGGACATTAAAGCTGATATCAACTTTCACTTCAGTAAAAGAATCTGTTAATTTAATAATAGGTACCTAGAAAGAGAAGAATGAGAAAGGTAAAATACACAAATTAAATGACCAAATTGATAAGGAAGATTTCGGGCTTTGAAGTCTCCATGTTTTCATGAGAACATAAAAAGACCGAGTGTTCTGAATACCAGTTAATGTGTTCATCTACAGATAATTTACATTACATATTTAGTTTAGCATTTAACCTATGCAATGCGTTTTATAACTGTCATCAATAGAAATTTTGTTTTAGTGTCCAAACAGATTTTGTGTGTGTGTGTGTGTGTGTGTGTGTGTGTTACCAAGGATCAAACTGGGGATGCTGAGCTTGCCAGGCAGGCACTTATGCCACTGGGCTATATCCCTGGCCCCATATTTATTAATTTTTAAACTGTATATATTTCCAGTCTACAACATGAAGGAGTTTTGATGTATTTATCTTGCTATAGATACAAGTGATTACTATAGTGAAATAGACACATCATTTTATATCGTTACATTAACTGGCAAATAGTTGGCAATTAATTACAAATTCTGAAATCACATAACAAAAATGAGTATTGTCTCTTAAATATACATTAGAGTAAGTTGTTTCATAAAAAGAGCACTTTTATGCGCAAGTACTGTGACACTCACAGAATGAAAGTACTGACTCTTCAACTGCACTCACCGAAGTTAAATTTTAAGGTTCATTTACAAATAGATTTAAAGATGAAATGCTAAGAACTTACAGTAGCTTTGTCTAGAACTTTCACTGAATCCTCATCTGCAACCTTGTGTTTCCGAAGGGCTTCTTCCAGGGTCCAGAGGGGCAGGTTCTCCCACTTCCCGAACACCACGAGATCGATGTCACTGAGCACAGAAAGCAGATGCAAAGGGGCGTGAGCAGCAGGTCCCGCACGTCCAGCCTGACGCAGACACTACGGACTCCGGCTTAGCGCCCTGAGCTCTAGTTCTCCTCCCACACCCCAGGACCAGCGCTCTGCTGGCGACCGTGCTTCACTGAGAAGCACAGGCTAAAGAGTCTAACAACCTTCTCCTCTCGGCCACCTCACAGAACACAGGGCTCAGGAGACAGGGTGATTTTGAAAGAAATAAAACCTCCAAATAACTGACCAATGTTTCTTCTTCATAGACATTTCTGGTTCTAAATGTGAAACTGTGCTATCCGGATGAGGCTAATATGACTTACACATATGAGGTAGAAAATGCAGGCTGCAGGGCAGTGTGTAAGCACACACACCCCTCCTTTCACACGTACAGGTGTCTCTGGAAGGACCTGTGTGAAACTGATGCCAGGAGCTGTTCCGAGGAGAACAAGGGACAAAACCAGGACTGAGACTCTCCAGTCTCACTATTTTCGTGTCTTTTCCAAATCTACACTATGGTAAATGTACTACCTGTTCATAAAATTTAACTAATTTTTAGGACTGATGTTTTTTAGATTTTGCTGAAGCTTAGAACCTAAGTAAGGTGATATTAATGGACTTTGAAGTTGAATGTTTTGTGGTGTTTGAAGGTCAGAGAAGAGTGGAAAATGGGAACCTCCCTCCACTTTAACACACTTTGTTAGGAGACAGTGGATTGGATCAGGTGCAAATCAAAAGCACAAAAGAATGTTTTTCCCTTGTAAAGACCACAGTGTTTCAATTATTTTGTTTCATTTTGTATGTATTTAGTACAGGGTCTACAGGTTCTCACTATACAGATCGGGCTCATAGTGATCGTCCTGTTTTTAGCCTCCCAAGTGCTGGGATTTCAGGCATGTGCCACCACGCCCAGTCTCAAGACACTGTCTCAGTGCACGCTGGGGCAGGGCCAGCGCCCCCGCGTTTCAATTCTTAGGAGTCATCCTTCAGGGGACCATCACCATCACCATCACCATCACCATCACCAAAGAGGGGGCCGCCCAGGCTGTGGGTCAGGAGAGCCTTGTTAGAGCAGACTAAAATGGAACAAGTGTCTAAAAACACCAAGCCTTTCTTCAGAAAGGAGCTTTATGACCTGAACATCTGAGTGAGGAACCTGTGAGCTGAAACCACAGCTAGTTCCACGAATTCCTCACTCAAAAAAGAGGCCTCCAGCCGGGAGTACGTCCACTCCACACTGCAACCTGGCAACTCATCGCAGTAATGCGCCCCATCCACGGCAGCAGCCAGGTGCTGGGGCGAGCAGGGCTCTGCGCAGTGGTCAGGTTCTAAAGTTTGTCACCACCTGATTTTCCACTGCTTGTGCTCCCTTTTACATGTCTCTGGACGATGTCTGCCTTGATATGATCCTCAGAAATAAGTCTACTTTAAAGTAATTTAAATAAAATACAAGTAAATGAGTTTGTTTCATAAACCTCATTGGTTTTGTTTCTTTCTTTACACATTCAATGACCAAAATGGAAACACTAGAAAAATGCTAAATCCCTTGAAAACTTCTTAAATGTACTAACCTAGTAGGCAAATACAGGCCAGTTTTAAAACTTCCAAATATCTGGACCTGAAAGAGAAAAGATACAGCAAGGCGTCAATGAGGCTGGGAGGAAACACGGGGCTTTGCTGCCCTCTACTGGTCCTCCCTCGCACCTTCCGAAGGCGGTGTCACAGAGGCAGGGATTCTGCCTCACAAAGGCTCACATGTAGAACAACAGCGCTTAACAGGTTAAAATATAAAAGAGACTAAAATAAAAAACTTTAAAAATTAATATTCAGGCCAGTTCCCTTACACTGTAAGCAGGATCACAAATTCTTGATTTTCTGCTCTCCAAGCACAGGCGGTCTCACAGGTCACTACATTAGGGTCCGGCTACTTCAGTGCAGCACAGGCAAGGCCTGGGGCCAGCTCCAGAAGTAACAGTGCTGCCCTCGTAACCACACGCAGTGCCATACACTGCGACATCCACCTCGGCCCACGGAGGGCACTGGGACTTGGGCAGGGATGCAAGGCAATGAAGAAAAGATGCAAAGTTCCTGCGAACCTAACCACAGCCTCAAGTTCCTCTCTTAGGGTGGGCAATAATCGCTCACCCCAGTGAGCAGGGCACGCGGCAGTGGCCCTGATCTCTGCCCACCAGATGTCAGCAGCGCCTCCCAAGTCACTGGAGTCAAAAATGTCTGGCCACTGTCACTGACCCCAGCACTGCCTCGGACAGAACCTGCTCAGGTCACACAGGAGACAGAACGTAGTGCAGCACAGAGCAGCCACTCAGCCAAAGAGGCCGCTGCCCCTTCTCCCTTTCCCCATGTCACACTTGAAGCTTGTCTCATCAGTGGGCTTCTCGGACCTGCCTGGCTTCTACGCTGTTCCAGGACAGCGTTTTTTTAAGATGCTACTGAAGAAAAGATGATGAACTCTAAAACAATACATTCTCTGCACAAAACTGTAGAATGGATCCTCAAAGAAGCCCTAGAAACTAAAATGCTAACTTAGTACCAATAACAAAACCCCCAAATAAGCAAAGAAATCGCTGGCAAACACTGTCTGGTCAGTCTGAGGAAAAACAATGTCAGAGAGACAGAGCAGAATGTGGGGGCAAACACCTGTAACCCCAGCAGCTGGGGAGGCTGAGGCAGAAAGACAGCGAAGCTCAAGCCCAGCGGGGCACTTGAGTGAGGCCTTGTCTCGAAAAAATAAAAACGACCAGAAGGCTCAATCCCCAGACCACAAAACAGAGGACAGGGCAGGAAAGACACGCTTGCATTTGCCCAAGAAAATGAACTTAAGAAAATGAAAAAAGAAATTCTGACAAGATATTTTTGTTTAGCTATATACAACTATAATATTTACACTGATGGGTTGGAATAAAACAATTACGAAGGGTTTACATCCAGCAAATAGACAACTATAGTATGAAGTTTGATTTGTCTTTTTTCTCTTTACTCCAATGATCCCTAAATTTAGTTCACCTTTACAGTACTTGCTATTCTGCACTAGGGGGGGGGGGGCAGTTTAAGGCATCTCAGATAATGAAAATAATTAAAATAAATAAATAAATTACCAAACCCCAAATTCTAAAAGCGGTAGAAAAGTATTCACTCTTAAGATTTAATTAGTTTGGGTGTGGTGGCGCACACCTGTGATCCCAGCACTCTGGAGGCTGAGGCAGGAGGATCACCGTGAGTTTGAGGGCAGCCTGGGTTACAAAGTTCAAGGCCAGCCTGAACTGCATAGTGAGAGACTTTGTCTCAAAAAAAGAAAAACATTTAATTGGACCCTTACTCTACAAAAGCACTTGCCACATACAGGTCTCCACATGAGAAGCCACCAGTCCGCTCCACCGCATACCCCAGACAGAACCCCATCCTAGGCCCAAGCCAGCAAGGCGGCACTCACGTCAGCACTGGGCCACAGCTCCTTAATCACACTCTCGATCCTGCTCACCACCTCCATCCGCATCTTCTCCTCCTCGGGCCTTGGGGACATATACTCATAAAAATCGCTGATTTCTTCGTGCAGACTAAAGACAAAAGCAGAAAAGTGAGTATGAGCAGGGCTGATCTAATGAGAAATCACTTTAAGTAACCTTCTCTAATTAAGACTTACAAGATAATTCAGCTGATGACCTTATATTTATAGATTTTACCTCAATTTTAATTTTATAACACATGCTAAGCTAAGATGGGAATATATGGGATTAATCAAAAATGCCACAATTATTAAATAAAGTAAGAAATTCCTTGCATGGAGCATTTGTTGGCTGCTGGACATTTTGAAAAAGAAAAACAAAACAACATGCAGGCCGTGGTCTCTGCCTTTACACTTACGATCCAGCAGGTACCAAGCAAGAAGACGGTACCCAGGGGGTCTGTGGGCAATGCGCCCCCCACTGCTTCCCTGCAATCCATTGCTCACCATGAGAAAAATGGTCTTTCATGGCATTTACTTAAGGGGTCAAGTGAACGTGTCAGCCAGGGAACATTAGAGTCGCCTGCAAGAATGGCTGGCAGACAAGAGCTCCAGGCAGAGCTCCCAGTTCCCAGAGACCAAGAGGTCAGAGACAAGCAGCCAGCTGCAGGGCTACGCTGGGGGGCGAAGGAAGGTGCACCCATGGTGGACGGCAGGCTGTGGGCCTGGCACACTTTGAATGGCAGGCTAAGAAGCCCAGGTTGTCTGAGGCTGGGGAACAACTCAGTGGTAAAGTGCTTGCCTAGCATGCCTGAGACGCTGGGTTCAGTCCTTATCAATACACATGTATGTATATGTACACACACACATATACACTCATGCACACACGTACACACGTACGCACGTGCAGAAAGAATGAGTTTCGGCTTTCCCCTGTAGCAAAAGTGAGCCATCTGTTTCTGAGGGAGGAAGGAGAGACTGGGTGCAGGGAGACAGACTGACTGCAGGACTGGACGGTGGCCAGAGAGGAAGGGACCCTAAAAATGTCCCAGATGCAGACATACGGCCAGGCTTCAGGGCTGAGGGCAGAGCTGAAGAATGGGCCAAGGACAGTACTGGCCAGGAAGCAGGACAAGTGGGCTGCTAATGAGCTGAATAAAACCAATGCTGTGGGGCTGAAGGGGTCGATACAGCATTCCTTACGAAGTCCTGACACCATGGAGGGCTCTCAGTAGGAAAAGGTCCCCGGAGGGCCACCCCCTGGTTGGGGGCTACATACAGGTGGGGTGGGAGAAGCTGGGCCAGGGCAACCATCTGGCTCTAGAGGGAAAAGCTAGGAACACTGAGAAAACAAAAAGGATTTTGCAACCTCCTCTAGGTAGAACTTCTGCTACATGGAATGCTGATACCTTTCAAAATATGACTAAGCCATCAATAGCTCCTGTCTGTTTCGATGCTGTCGTTAGAGTCAAAAAACTTGGGAGCTATGTGTTCCCTTGGACATGTGGCTATGGTTCTCAGTGCTCTGTGGCCTCTGCGTGTGGGTCTGCGAGCAGGAGCCTGCCATGCAACAGCGCAATGATCTGGACTTTAAAACTCCACCGAGCTCTGCAGGTGACACGAGAAAGCCATTCCCATGGAGTGTGGTATTTTCAGTGCTGCTGGACACCTCATGAGCTTTAATTCCTAGGGTTGGGCTGGGCTGTTGTGCTTTAAAGGTTCCCAAACGTTACTGTTTGCTCTAAGGTTATCATCCTTCTGTTTCTTACAGACAGTACCTAAAAGCAAGAAAGCTTCAAGAAGCTGTACATACAGCACAGGTCCGCCCGCAAGAATGGAGACCACAAGCAAACCGTACAGGACGCCTTCACTCACCGCACAGTCAGCTATAGCTCAGTTTATTCGCAGTTCTAAACCAGATCACCAACAATATTTGTACTCTAACCAATGGGAAAAAAATCTCCAAAGCTGGACTACATCTACTCCAGAGTCCCTCACACATTTTTATAACTCAATTACAGGCAAAAAGGTTTTTTTGGTTTTTTTTTTTTACCTCAACGCTAAGTTAATGTTCATAAGAAACTAGAGGACAATCCACTCCCTAAACATCACTGAACTCCTCTGTTCAGGCCCTAGCAGGGAATGGGCCTATAAAGCCTGATCCATGCCCTGGGTAATTTCCATCCAGCAATGAAAAGAAAAGCTCCTCTGAAGTTGTTGTGGGAGACGCTTCAGGGGAAAGCAGAGGCTTCCAGGGGCCCCCACTGCCAAGAAGGAGAGGGGTGTCTGCAGGGTCCAGGGGTCCTCTCGCTGTCAGAGTAAATATGGAAATTTGATGATCACAAGACAAACAAAGACCCAATATAAAAGGGGTATCTGAATGTGATGAAAAGTTAGAAAACAACTTAAAATTTGCTTTCAGTGCTGGGATTCTAGGTTTCTCATTATAAGTTGGAGGGAAATTAAGTTTTAAAATAAACTTTTAAAGCAGAATTATCCTCCACACATAATCTTTTAATCAAACCATCATCTTTTATTGGTGTTATGTCTGCCACACCAGAAAAGGGGGCAGCGGAACAAGGCAAAGTGCAGGGTTACTAAAGAAAAAGGTATCTGAATGTAAGAACAAAGGGCCCCCCTTCAGGTATGCCGTGGTCCTCCTTGTACACCCACAGACCTCACCACCTCCTGTAGGTGACTGGCCACACGCAACATGCTAACAACAAGGTCAAACACAAGCAGTCAATTTTCAGTATAGATGTTTAAATACTCTGTGGGGCTTCCTGACTGAACAGGGTTACTGCTGTTAGTTTGCTTCATAGTTTAAATCTGTCTTTGCCTGGCACAAGTGACAAGATGACTCAACAAATCAGAGACCAGAGACATTTTGTGAGGAGCTTCTGTGTGCTGATATAGATTTATACCTGATGGCATATAGCCCTGCAGAGAAAACTTCAGTGCTCACGGGTTTGACCCAAAACTCAGCAAGACTCTACTAAGTACTGCTCAACACCATACACCAAGCCTTGTTTCGTGTATGTATTCAATTGTGAAGCACAGCTCTGCTGTGATCTGAACTCATGCATAACCAAAATACTATGCTGTAAAGCTGTAAAATTTAAACTGGTCTTTGTCCCCTTTTCTGGTATACAACTCAAGTCCTCAGAATTGCCAAAGTGATCAAGACCTTTCTGCATACAAATGACCAGGGATGGCAGGATGGGGACTCAACTACACACGACCTCTAGGGCAGGGTAGTAGTAGCCTACAGTTGATCAGCAATGCCAGAAGTTTAACCAATCAGACCTATATAACGAAGCTTCCATAAAAACCCCAAAGAGCTTGAGGATAGGTGACCAGTGAGGGGCCTCCAGGAAGGAAAATATATTCACTTGTCCAGAGGGTAGTGCATCCAACTCCACAGGGCAGAAGCCTCGGCCCTGCAGACACTGTTTTAAAGTCTGCATGGTATGGGATGAACATCAGGTCACTTGACAAAAGCCTTGCCTAACTAAATAGGATGATCACCAGCATCAGCGTGGAAAAGAAAAACCCTCCCCGTCTTGTATCTGCAAACAAGAAATCTATAGCTCCATATAATCTCACAATCTCCTGTAAGATTAAAAGGGGAGCAGGAGGGGCAAAATATGAACGATGATGGAAAATTATTTAAAAGGGAAGAGAGAGCCCACAGCTCTAGCTCACATAAAAGCTGCAGGCACTTACTTAAAAGGGCTGTTCGTGGATAAGGATGGCATGTTTCTGTTAACCCCTCCCTGGACAGGACATAGGAATAAAGAGCAGAGAACTGATGGACACTTGTCTGTGTCCTAGACTGCAGAGGCTCTAGTTTCTTTTCTTCTCTTACGAGGTCCCTGTTCCTGCTTTCCTAGAGAGAACATTCCTTATAAACGCCATCACATTCCTGCTGCTCATTTCTGGACCACAGCTTTCAGAAGAGTCTTCAGCTCATTTCCTCTCCTCTCTCCCCTTATGAACAGAGATGACAAGAGCCCGGGTGAATTCTTCCCCTCATGCCACTTCTGTCACCCAACCTTACGGCTGCTTGTAGTACATATTAGGTAAAGGGAGAAAGGAAAAGAAATCATCACTGAAGAGTTACCAAACCTAATTCTACACAATAATTCTTTCCTCTTCCAGGAAAAATTCTGAATTCCCCCACTACTCTGAGTAGACCTAACCAAATTTGGGTAAAGTTAGGATGCCTAAACTGGGCATGGTGGTGTACACTTATAATCCCAGTACTCAGGAGCTTGAGGCGGGAGGATCACTATGAGTTCAAGGCCAGTCTAAACTCCATGGGAAGACCCTGTCCCATAAAACCCAAAAAGTTAGAAAGCCTAAAAAATGGTAGGCAACATTCTGCATCTCTGGTTAACTATCTCAAGAGGAGGGAGAGCTTAGTTAATACACACAGATCTCAAATGGAAGGTCCTCAAACATTTATCCAGTGGATCAGCACATGGTGACCCAAACCTATAAGACCGATCCTAAACCCAGACTGGGCACTTGGCAACTGAGCAAGACATTGTCTCAAAACAAAAAACAAACAGGGCTAGGGAACAGCTCCGAGCGAAGGCCCTGGGTTCTATCTCCAGTACTGCAAATAAGTAAAATCATTAAATGGGGAAAAACCCTACACAAATAAATGAAGCTGTGTCTTATCCTTAGCTACAAGGTCCAAATGCCAGTAAGAAGTAGTTCAACATACTGGCTAAAATGAAATTAACTCGCACGATTCCACTGCCATTTCTTTCTCTTTGGCAGAAGGGCTAATGTTCAGAACAGACACTACTCAGTACACACAGCCCCTTGTCACACCCTCCCCAGGCCAGAGAACAAGTACAGAAGCACAGAGACAAGGCAGGTGGCCTCACTCCCAAGAGCCACTGCACAGGCAAGTCACAAGGTCCAGAGGTCACTGTTTACTAAGCACACCGTACACCCCCAGGAAATGCCAGCTGTCACCAATTATTAACAAATATTTAATGACAAAAGATAAAGACAACAAAAGCCTGCAGGTAAGAATGCTGGCAGGTCTGACCCAGTCACCAGGCCGGCAGCCTCAACCTTTGCTTCCCAGTTTGCCTT